AATGTACCGATGTGTCCAAGGATAACCAATGTACCGATGTGTCCAAGGATAACCAATGTACCGATGTGTTCGAGGACAACCAACGTACCAATGTGTCCAAGGATAACCAATGTACCGATGTGTTAAGAGGACAACCAACGTACCGATGTGTCCAAGGATAACCAATGTACCGATGTGTTCAAGGGCAACCAATGTACAGATGTGTTCGAGGACAACCAACGTACCAATGTGTCCAAGGATAACCAATGTACCGATGTGTTCGAAGACAATCAATGTACCGATGTGTCCAAGTATAACCAATGTACCGATGTGTTCGAGGACAACCAATGTACCGATGTGTCCGAGGATAACCAATGTACCGATGTGTTAGAGGACAACCAATGTACCGATGTGTTAGAGGACAACCAATGTACCGATATGTCCAAGGACAACCAATGTACCGATGTGTCCAAGGATAACCAATGTACCGATGTGTTAGAGGATAACCAATGTACCGATGTGTTAGAGGACAACCAATGTACCGATGTCTTCGAGGACAACCAATGTACCGATGTCTTCGAGGACAACCAGTGTACCGATGTGTCCGAGGACAACCAATGTACCGATGTGTTCGAGGACAACCAATGTACCGATGTGTTTGAGGATAACCAATGTACCGATGTGTTCGAGGACAATCAATGTACCGATGTGTCCAAGGATAACCAATGTACCGATGTGTTTGAGGACAACCAATGTACCGATGTGTCCAAGGATAACCAATGTACAGATGTGTTCGAGGACAACAAACGTACCAATGTGTCCAAGAATAACCAATGTACCGATGTGTCCAAGGATAACCAATGTACAATGTGTTGAGGGCAACCAACGTACCGATGTCTCTGAGGGAAACCAATTAACCAATGTGTTAGAGGGGAACCAATGTATCGATGTGTTTTAAGGGAACTGGTGTGTTTGAGGAGAACTGGTGTCTTAGAGGAAAACCGATGTTTGAGGTAATTGATGTGTCTGAGGAGAACCAATGTGTTTTAGGAGAACTGGTGTGTTAGAGTGGAACCAGTATGRTCATAGTAAACTGATCAGAAGAACTCAAAAGGAACCAATGTGTTTGAAGGAAACAGTAAAGTTTGTGCTGTTTGGTGCTTTTGATTATTTTCAGTTGAAGGTGATTATCTTCAGCCTCAGCTGGCAGGGTGTGTCTCTGGAACAGAGTAGGTGATTTCCACACCAACACCCTCGAATTAAAACTAAATTGTTCCCAACATTTATGATAGTGTGAAGAAAGTCCCTCCGTCTCCCCCCCGGAGATTGGGTTCAGAACTTCAGGCTTTGATTTTCATCCTCTAAACACTCTCCTTAGCTGCAAAATTTCCAACTGATTCATCAAAACCAGAACCTTTCATCAGGTGGACGACTGGAAGCCCAGATAGAGGCAGAAGGAAAACTTCTGGACGAAATCCAAAAGCAAACTTTTTTCACAGCAGACAGACACTCGGAGGAAAGGAGAGAGCAGTCACTTAAAACAAACYAGACATTGTGCTTTTCCCATTCTGACCGGGGCCCGGCCCAGATCCGTCACGTGCACCACAGCCTCCTCTGGCACCGGTACTGCGAGAAGCAGAAGTGGGTCATCTCTCAGTCTGTCTCCCTCCCTCCWGCTCCGAAGCCACTGGAGACCAAATACTTTTGATTCTTGGTCAACTTTTGCTTCTAGGGAGGGGTGGACYTCGGTCTGGTTCTGAGACGATTCTGGTCCACGAACGGACCTGAATYATCTGCTTCAGGTGGAAATATCTCAGCTCCTCATTCAGAGTTTGATTCTGTGACAAAGACAAGTCTGGATGTTTAAAGCAGGAGGAGAATCCATTAGTACTTGTAGTACTCAGTATAACCAATACTCAGTGTCAGTACTTGTAGTTCTGAAGGACTGCGGCTTCAGTTAAATAGTTTCAGCTTTAAAAACAGCAGAAGGTTTGTTTTCTCTTCAGCTCATTTCATGTCTGAGATTAAATTCTTCTAATGAGCAAAAACTAAAAACAAGCTGAAGGTTTCAGCTGAGGTAAACAGGGAGAGGCAGGCAGCTGAAGATGTTGTCATTTCATTCTTCATCCTTTGTGTATGTGTGTGTGTGTGTGTGTGTGTGTGTGTGTGTGTGTGT